ATATATATATATATATATATATATATATATATATATATGACGGTAAACTTCATTTGAACATTGTTCGTCAGAGGCTATTGGAGCATAAGTACTGGATTTCAAAACCGCCTACGATCATGCAAAATCCCTGAAACCAACGCAAAAGAAGTCGTGGTCGTTTTTTGCCGAACAACAACTCCCCTGTGCTATTTTATCGAACACGCGTTATGGTCTCCACGTTCTCAAGCAGCATCGCATGAACAGATGACTGCTGCAAGTATGGAGCCTTCATGGTTCCTCTGTGGGTATGCTCGTCACCCACTTTATAAATGCCCCGCTAAAGACGCGACCTACGAAGAAAATATTTTCAAAAAGTATGAAGATCTACCTCTGTTCTGAGGAACGCCCCATCCGTTTCAAGTGCACTATCTTGCATCAGTGCTGCTTCCCCCAAAATGTCTTAACTAAGCAGTCCCCAACTTGAAATTCGATGGCATTCCACATCGAGCTGTTGTTGACAATGGTAGTTCAGAAAGCTTCAATTCCGTCATAATCATTGGCCTGTACTAGAGTCGTCATCTGGGGTAACTTTGGCATCCGTCAAGCACAAAAGCTTCACTCTTGAACAATGTTTTTTAACGTTGCAACATGAACGAAACATATACCCCTCTTTCAAATTTTCAGTATTACGTGATCTCCCTGCAGATGGGACATGATTTTCCTAGACTTCAAAGGTACATGAGAATCTCCTTCAACAGTGATGAACCTTTCTCGCTTGTGGTCTAATAGCCACCAAAATAGTACCTCTCATACTGTTTGCGCATCTTGATCCAAGGTATAAGCTCATTGCCAAAAAGTTCAGACGACCTTCCACAGACGACGAGGTTTTAATTGCTCCTGAAGTGAGTATTCTAGTCGGTCAACAAATTATTGAACCTCAATGTCTCCATGGAGAGCACAAGTGCTCGTCACGACAAACGATCGACAAAAGAAACTATAAACCGAGTTACGCGACTAGACGCTTACCCGCTCCCCAGAGTTGAGAATGAGTAGTAAGCTGCTCAGCTGCAGCACCCCTCGGTGCCTAACTGTCATACCACCAGAATAAAGCATGAGGGCTGTGATATTGCCAGGTTGCGCAAGACGAGACAAAGGAAGTCGAGATGCAGAGGTCGGGCTCGAACGATGGACCTTCCGGTCAGTAAATTTACGTTCAAAGAACTGAACTATCTCGTCCCATAAGTAGTGAAATAGCCCAAAATCCCGGTCCTAAAGGTTCCCATCAAGGAAAGTGACAGAATCTACACGGCTTTTGAGGTTTGTGACAATCTTTATGGATTTAGCCGAATACCGTTCGGAGAACTAATGAAGCAGAGTGCTTTCAAAAGGTTATGGATATAATACGCGCCGAAAAAAACCTACCGGGACAAATGTCTGCGGGAATAACGTCAACATTTGTGGAAAGGATCAAGAAAAACACTGTCGAAATACCTGGCGTCTGCTCACCGTAGCACAGAAGTACGGCCTTTAGTTGAACCACAATAGAGGCGCAATTTCCACCATGAATTTCAAACTCCTCTACTATGAAACTATGGCATGTATTATCAAACCAGACCCTGAACATTTCAGTCTTGCAGGAGCTATCCGTTCCGAAGAATGTGAAGCCTCAACAACGTGTAGTTGTTTTTTGCGTAGTTTTCGTCGGATAATCCGTTTCTCTGATAAAATCTATCCAATCACTCGCAACGCAAACTTTTCAGTACCTGCCTCCGCTGTAAAAGCGTTTAAAAGTTCCAGAAGAGAGTTGATCGATGCTTTTGTGGTCACTAGCGATCCGAACGTACCACCGATACTCGAAACTGATGCATCTGATGTTGCCATTTCCGCTACACTCAACCAACATGGCAGACCGGCCGCATTCTTTTCAACTAGAGTTTGCCAACGGGGAACATAACTTTGTTATTGGAAAAGAGGCGTTCGCAATCGTCAAAACAGTGTGCAATCGGAAATATCACCTACTCGGGACCCATAACAAGATAGTAACCGATCCACGGGCCGTTGTGTTCATGTATTTCAACACAGCAGTGGAAAATAAAAAACGACAAAACCCAACGACAGTGGATGGAGTTATCACCTATATATAACCTACAGACCAGACACCAATGACAAAGCCGCTAACAAGCACCCGCGGAGTGTCTGTGCGAAGAATTCACCTCCGCCATCCAGGAGCAACACCCATGATCCACTTCGTTCGTACCAGGAATAACCCATTCTTCCTAAGGAGGATACTAATCGTTCAACTGTAGCACCCTTTCGGTGCCTATCTGCCATGCCAACGGAAGGAGGCACGAGGGCTGGGTTGCCCAAGCCTAGAAAGGAATAGTCGAAATGCTGAAATTGAGTTCGAACCAACCACCTTCCGGTCCACAAGCTGGCGCCTTAACCATTGAGCTATCTCGAGTCCCACTCTCACTAACTTCCGGTTCGCCTATCCATATCCATATATAAGTTAGTCTACGGTGATCTCATGCCTTGTGCCACTATTGGCTACATTTGGTCTGCCTAGATTAGTGCATTTGGATCGCGGTTCATCATTCAGTTAGGATGAGATTAAGCGATTTCTTCATGAAAAGGTATTACCACCAGTCGGACCACATACAACCCCATACAATCCAAAGGAGAACAGTCAAGTGGACGATTCAATGGAACTTTGTGAAAAGCTATCACGCTTTCAGTATGATCAAAAGGTTTTCAGATCAGTCAGTGGGAAACCGTCCTACAAGATGCGCACCATTCGGTTCACTTCTTCTGTGCTACATCATCAATGCCACTCCACATGAGAGAATGTTTCGTCATAATCGAAAATCCGATTCCTTGCTGCAATGGTTGCTTTCGCCAGGACCAGGTCTGATGCGGCGAAATATATGATCTTCGAATTATGACCCCATAGTCGAAGAGGTTCAGTTCCTGGAGTGTAATCCTGAGTACACATACGCCCGATACCCTAACGGCATGGAGGAAACAGTCTCCCTGTCACCTGGCGCCTTCCGCAGATTTTGAATCCGAACATTAACCATCGCGGCCTAATAGTGATTCGTTTATTACGCCGGAACTATCTGGCTCCTCTACTTCGAGAACCGAAATTTCCAGTTGTTTTAAACATCCGTTGGTTGTGCAACAGCGGGTACAGCCGTGTTTCTTGCGTACCATCGTCCAGCTGTAGCACCATTTCGGTGCCTAGCTGCCATGCCACACGAATGAGGCACGAGGGCTGTGATACTGCCAGGTCGCCCAAGCCTAGACAGTGGAAGTCGAGAGGCAGAGGTCGGGTTCGAACCACGGACCTTCCGGTCAGTAAATTCGCGTTCTAACCACTTGGTCCATCTCGCACCATAGGTCTGACATTATTCAGTTATAAAACGAACTCCTGTGAGCATTTATCTCAGTGTGGGTGAATGTTGCGTATTTGCTCTATCTTCTCATGGCGTTTTATCGTTCACTGCTAAATAACTTTTTCTCGTTTTAGTTCAGTATCTAAGTTTTGGATGAAAAAAGCCTAAGGTAGTGACTGGCAGCGTGCCGCGACTTGCTTCCGCCGGTTCACATCCGTGTCTCCCTGTTTTTATTTCTATCTTTAGCGTGCGAACCTTGAAGTAAACCTGCCAAGAAGCTTCCTCAGTGCATACTCCTAACAGTTTGGCAGTAGATGTCCGCTGCATTTCCAGACCAAGTGAGGCAATCGGGCCCAACACATCCATTAGCTAGAAGCCGTCAACCACGAAATTCAGGCGAATCTGCGGCTGCTTCGATGTAAATATCGGCTCGCATGCAGAGGTTTCGTTAACTGATTAGATCACAGTGAAGTCATATTTGTGCAATCCATTTGTCCACTTCCATAAGAAACAGCACTGAGCGAAATAATACCTGCTCCTGGTGGTCGTTGGCTCGTTCGCCGAGCTGGGCAATTTGATTGCAAACGTTTCATCACCAATCGAGGTGACATCATCAGTGCGCTTTTGTGGAGCGTAGTAGTGCGTAGCGGTGGGTTGGTGGAACGTAGCAGGTGGAACGTTGCAGGAACGTAGCAAAAACAACAGTTTGTGCTGCGCTATCATGAGGCTGTGAAACCTGACCATCTCGTGCTGGAGAGGCTCGACGGATACCGTTTTCCGCAGTCATCTGCGGAGCAATGGTACCATCTAATGACTTCGCGTTTGTAATGGAGTATCCCTCTGGACCACCTTTGAAGACCAACATTTCATTACACAGAATACATTAGCTGTGGTGTGTTTTACACGTCACCGAAAAGTCTACTGAGCCGCGTGCCGTTCGTACGAAATCGGCTCAATTGGTAGAAACGAATGAGTAGGTAACCGATGACGTAATGAGGAAACACGAAAACCTAGATGGTAACTTGAAAAAACAGAGTCAAATGGGTATCCTGACTGGAGCCTGAGGGCTGCAGATGGTTGGTTGGGGACTCTGTGATATAGCGCGTTGTCGAAGTCAGTAGAGGGCCTTCACTCGGACGTGCCAGTTACGGAATTCCGCATAATGCCAAGCAGAACAAAGAATATCGAAACTCGCATCGCACAAGGTTTTCCTCTGCTTATATTTCTGACTGTCTGTACGGAAATCTTGGGAAAAAATGGACAACATACATTGCCCACTATCGTATGTAGTGAAACGGACAACAGGGTGGTTGGCCGTCCCCGGCTAAGGCAGCGGGAGTGACCTTTTCCTGGCTCACAGAGATTACGGGCCGTGGTCTTTATCGTCGTCAGTGTATTCAGTATGGCTTCGAGGAACTCAAGTAAGGGAAGAAAATAAAGCAGTGATTCTGTGTTAATAAGTTGCTAAATGGGACACGCTTTATTTTCCGAAGGCCAGCATTGATTCACCACATTCTTCTCATTGTCATCTTCGACTCCTGTTTCACGCTGTCGTGAGTGTGTGGTCTTTTCTTACGTCCTGTGGCTTTCTCAGAGTTATTCCAATCCCGGTTGAAACTATTTGGATCATCATAGCATGACGGTTAGTTGAGCTCAAAATACTCTTTTTGTCCATGATCAAACACGAATGACGGTCCGCAATATTACGTGATCACAATGTATTAGGTGTTTATGGCCCAGACTAGCCACTGGCATCCGGCTTTCAGCGGACAATGAAGCGCTGCTGGCCCCGGTGACTGTGCACGAGGTTGTGGGTAACAACAACACATGGCCTGAAGACCCCTGCCCCGACCATCTGCACCCTTGTTGTTTCAGAGAAAAGCGTAAAATGAAAACTCAGAAGGAACTCCTTTGTGGGTTCGTGATTTTGACCATACTTTGACCCCTTGTTATGACCAATCAGGTGCGCCTCATGCCCATTGGCCATTGTGGCACCAGTAGGATTCA